ACGTAATTAAGGCTTAACACATCTTAAGTGTGTACAGCATCTTTTCTATTCTATTCTAAAACTTAACAATGGATTGTTGAATTTAACTCATAAGCACATTGCAATGTGTTTATGATTTGTAGCGTATTGACGTTGATTTCTTTTTATTATTAGCGCCAGATTGTTTTTGTATTTTAATTATTTCTTTCCATTTGAATACTTCAATTTGAATAAACCAACAAGGAAGCCAAAAGGAAGTGTCAATTTTCTGACAGTTTTACCAAAAATTAAATTACAAATAATTTACAAAGAAACACAAAAGATAAAATTACAAAAAAAATGTTTTGTTCCACTTGCAATATTTTTATATTGGTGAGTCATGGTGGAAGATTAAACATAAAAGATCACACTAAATCAGGTTACCACGATAAAATAACAGCGTTTTGTAGAGATACTTTGAACAATTAAATTAGTCCACTAAAAGGCCTTGTGGTATTTGGGGCTAAAAATACTAATACTAATATTGCGAAAAAAGGCACGGAGTAACTAATGTGTTTTACAAATTAAAAGGAACGTTGTCTTCAAATATAGAAGGAGTATGTTACTCTTACCCATTATTCATAATACAGCTTTTTATGCCCCCGATGTCTTATTAATTGATATAGAAGCTCTAGTTTTAAAATTTTATAAATTTTTTTCAATATACACATTAAGAAATAAAAATCTTGAAAATTTCTTCGAATAACACATTCAAATATTAAATTCAAGAAAAAAAATTTGAAAATTATGTCAAGAAACGATTTTTCAATGTTAAAACTAATTATTTCGCAAAGTGATCAGTTCGAATCGGCAAATATGATGTTTTTTCGTGGATACATCTCAACAAAGTTCCCAAATGGGAACACGTTGAAAAAATCATTACATGTTTAAATAAAAAGTGTATACTTTTTACGGATTCAATATATTAGGAAGTTATGTATATAAAATCTTTTATTGAAAAGGAACCGTGTGAAGAAAAAGAAAGATATGCATGATAGATTGTTGCACTAATTCATGAAGACTGAAGAGAGAAAGAAAAGGTTATTTATCAAAAATATGCCAATACTTCGCCATTCCACCTCATAATGCGCATGTTGAACGTATGTTCTCCCTAAGTCAAACTTTGTGAACAGATGAGCACAATTCGCTTTTTATCGATACAGTGAAATGTATAACTCGATGTCTTATGAATTTTAAATTGACATCTCTGAGTTCTACAATTATATAAAAGAGAAAAACCAGAACATCTGAAAAATATGATTGAAAAAAGATTGAAAATGTAATCAGGGAAGAGTAAAAGTGAGTGAAGAATGTATGCAATATAATGTTTTGGTAAGCGGATATGCCGTTAGATTATATTTGGTCATTTAAATTGAGTTGAATCGCTAATTAATTTATAATTGTTTTAGCTTTGGTATATATCCACCCACAAAAAAAGAGAAAATGTTTCTGTTGAACAAATGTTCCAAATTTTACAAAATTTTTGAGATTTACAGCCACCAAAAAAATTTTCATTTGAGAATGCTTTTTTTTTAATTTATTTATTTGCTTTTAATAAAAAAATACAGTTACAGACTTATTACAGAATACCATTATTACAAATATAATCAGCAGAACTTCCAAAAGATTATATAATCTTATCATGAAGCCCTTTACAAAATCAAATATAACATAAATAAAAAAATCAAATTAACCAATAAAAATAAATCATCATAAACTATATATAACTGTGCATTTAAATTATAAATATACCGGATAAAATATATGAAACAAAGAACTAAAAACGAGAAAAAATATTTCTTGTTGAAAAGATAACTTGTTTAATTTTTTGTTTGAATGAACTTCCATTTCATAGACAAATCAAAAATAGGCAATTTTTATTCCATAAAAAAGGACCTCAATAAGAAATAAATAGCTGTCCAAATTTACTTTAGGCAGAAACGTTTTTGGATATTTTTTTCATTAGATAGATTGTATTTGTGTATGGGTTTTACATAATAAAGGTTTATAAATACCTTAGGAGATAAATGATTTTTACATAAACATAAAATATTATAAAAATGCTAATTTATTAACTTATATAATTCTAAACTTTGAAAATGCGCTCGTAATATTTTTTGCAGTAAATAATTTAAAGCAAGTTTAGCAATGCTTAGAACATCGTAAGTAGTTAACGTCTTTCCGGGGGGATTAATATACCAGTCATTAAAAGCTATTTTTAATTTTGCATTTAAAACTTCAAATCCAATGTCAAGGGTTTTGAGTTTTTGGAATGTGTGTGGTAGAAATGACACATAAACTATTCAATAATCACAATAATAATTAATTGGGTAGAGAGAATTATTTGACTCATGGTTATTGCAAAGAAATAAAATAGGTTTTTTTTAGTGTAGTTTGCGTATTTTTGAATATGCTCGAGGACTTCTAAGAACTGCTCACTGTTTATCCAACCAGATTTAGATACCAAACTCAATGAATCTTTTGAAGCATAATTCAAAAAATGACTTTTATAACGAAATCTGTGAAACACGTTGACAGATAGATCTGTATTACCTGTACCAGTTATAATTCCTCCAAAATTGACGAGTTTACCTCTATTAGATAAAACAATTTGATCAACTTGACTCAGTATTTTTTTTGCATTTACCGTTGGACTATTTAAAATTGTCGGTATACCGGTTTCATAAAACTTCATTATTCGATCGCCACGAAAATCTTGTTGAAGACAAAGAAAGGAAGAAAGAAAGCAATAAAAAGAATACGCAAAAATAAAAAAAATGACTCAACTATAATAAAACTTAAAAAATTAAAACGCTAAACCAAGTTTTTAATCATTTTCATTTATCTGAGTCAGAATAAAAGCCCCAAAATAGAGGTATTGAGACAAAATAGAGACAGAGACAAAATAGAGACATAGAAACAAAATAAAGGCATTTGTTCAATAAGTGAGAGTTGAGATCAGTTGGACAACGGAAAAAAGTTATTTTTACTATGGAAGTGATCTTATTGAGACATTTGGTTATCTCATTGAAGCAGTCATGTTGGGGAGATTCACATTAAAACCAAGCAACGAACTCAATCCACAGTAAGTGTTTTCATTTTAATTCAGTTTACTCATTAGTCTGCCAATGCCTCGTTGGGTTGGGAGAAAAACTTGAATTTAAGACATTTCATTGATAAGTTGGTGAAGAAAAGAAATTATATATTTCTTGAAAATTATAAATAAAATATGAAGTTATATTCAATTTTATAAATTAATTTTAGTTGCATTATTACGTAATAGTTGTTCAAATAATGAATTTATTAATAATAGTCTAAATTTATAACTGTCGTAGAATTTGGGTCTAATATTCTTTTTCGGTCTAGTATTGCTTGGTAAAGTCTAAAACAATGACTGCTTCACCTTAAAATAAGAATACACCAAATAACTTTTATTTGATTGGCACTTTAATTTTCATTACGTTTTAGTTGTATTTCTTTTTTATTTAAATTCAAATTTTAGTTTGCTAATAAATTTAAATACTGGGGGGTCAGAAGATCTAAAATTTCTTTTTCGCTTGCTGGAATTTTTTTTCTTTTTATATAATACTTTTTCTTTCAAATAATATTTTTCAAAAATTCATTCTGATGCATCATCAAATCTCATGGCTTTTTGGCATGTGACCGTTGTGACCTTAGCAAAAACCGGCTCTGATAATATATTTATATATTTGTCCTTTATTATATTATGTTTATATATTATATCTGATAATATCTTTATATATTTGGTAATCAGAAAAAGCCCTTTAAACATGGTAAAATTCAAGTTCAACGGGAGACTGTTTAAATAAAAATTTCTTATAAGTGCACCACAAAATTTTCAAACGATAATTTTGTTATTCCAAGATCTTATCTACAGCTAAGTTTATTTCAAATTCAATATCATGGACCATTTCTATGAAATTTTTTCTTTCAAAAAATTATTAAAAAATTATTACCTGCATAACATTTAATTGTCATTTACTTCATTTCACTTTTTCTTTTTTAACTTTTTTTGTTTTGTTTCTTAATTTTTATCTTAGTCATAGTATTTAATTATCATTAAATATTATGACAATGTTTTTATAAAATAATATTAACTAACGGCGATAAACGGGGCTGTACGATAAGACATACTGTCTTATAGTCCAGCTCCGTTTATCGCCGTTAGTATGTCTTCTTCTTGCTCCCGCTATTTATTTTAAATAATCTCATTTTAAATATTATTATACAGCAAAGAAAATAAAAAAATAAAAATTCTGAACATTTAATAAAACATTTTGTCTTTGTATAAAACCATATCTTTTTATAATAGTTTTCCAGGTTTCAATGCTATATCAATTTTTTTTTTTCTAAAAACAGCTAAAAAAATTTAAAAAATGAAGCGTAGATTGTTGAGATTTTCATTGTTATCCATGCAAAAACTTAGTAGTATTTAAGAATTATTTATCAAATATTTCTTCAGCAATGCCTTTTATTTGCATTATTTCTTTTGAAGTTGAAACCATTAACTCTTTATTACCCAGTGACGTCATATGGCATCATTGACATCATATAGCAAAAATAGACATTATGCTGATCATGTGGGGAAACTTTTGCGCTTATGAGTAAAAGTAGCGTTTTCACACAATCTTTACAAACAATCACAGTTATTTCCTCCACATGGTTAGCACAATACGTATTTTTGCCATGTTAAAGGGTAAAGAGTAAATATTACTTAATCCTGAGGCAGGAAAAGTAGTGATAGAGAAAGGTTACTTACTATTTAAGAATACATTTAATAAATATTTGCTGATTATTTATAATGCATGAGTTTATTAAAATGGAAGAATTTAATTATGTCTGCATTTTTATAATACTATTTATAGTTAGAAATCAAATCAAGTTGTTGAATTACTCTTTCTAGCGCCATTTAATACATATACTCAATTAAAAAATTTTTATATGAATATAAAGTTAAAAACCTGAAGACGGATTATAGTATTGGCCTTTTCCTTCTATTAGAGCGGATTGAAAAATAGCAGGTGCGTAATATACCCCATCAAGTGTTTTTTGCTGTTTGAAGTTAGGCTGGCTTTTAAAATATCCTGAAATCATCATTGTGTGAAGCTGTGAATAATAAAATCCAAATTAAAACTAAGTTTGTTTTGAAAAATTTTATAAAAATTGAAAAAAAAAAAAAAATTATATTATACTTGCGATCCAAGTGCATGAAACCAATCACCAACAAACATGATCATATCTTCAGTATCTCTTGAAATTTTCTCTTTAATAATAACAGCTCCAAAGAGGCCGTCTACACGCTGACCTCCAATATGCGAATGGTACCAAAATGTTCCTTTTGGTTTAGCCTAAAAGATAAATATTCAAGTAAGATTTAAGATTTTAATTTTTAAAAACAGTTTAAAAAAAAAAATCTTACATAAAAACGATAGGTAAACGTTTGTCCAGCTGCAATTGGACATTGTGTAATATATGCAACACCATCCATAAAAGGAGTTCCCACTTGATGTAACCCATGCCAATGTATTGTTATTGAGTCACTTAACAAGTTGTTAGTAACTTGAATAATTAACAACTGTCCTTCATAAACAATAATGGGTGGTCCTGGCACGGTGTTGTTAACAGCTAACACAACTCTTTCAAATCCATCTGCGGTAATTACTTCATCAATCGGAATCTAAATAAGTTAGATTTTTTTAGATGCCTAAATAACTTTTTATTCTTGGAATCTTGATGTAATATTTAAATAAAATTAGAAATAAAAATAATTGATTTTGTTAATGTGAATGAAAACTGAAATTAGGACAATCTAAAGAAGCAAAACTGAAATAGAATTGAATATCAACATAACGAAAACAAAAAATAGAATTAATATTATGAATTCTTACTGAGCAAAAATTATTGAATACAAAAGTAAAATTTAACAAAAAAAATTGTTTTTTTTGACAGTTTATTTACACATCCTTAATTGTTGTTGCACGTGTGTGATCACTAATCTCGTCTTTGGCTTGTTTGCCATACTTTAAATTTCTTTAATGTTTGACTCTTACGTCAATGCATAGTCATAGTATTTAACTAGTCTGGAAACGCGGGCCGTTTTCTATCGATTTCGTATAATAACTTGAGTTTTAAGGGGTGACCGGACTGAGAGTGCATCAAATGTTTTAAAATGACTTTTTGTTGCGCAGACTTTGAAAATTTGAATGAATTCGATGCTGTTTTAGCTGTTATTGAGTTGCTATTTGTTGGAGGCAGATCTCAATTTTAGTTCTAACATTAGACTACCTATTTTAATTTATCCTAACCAAAGCGAAGAAAGAATATTTATGTGTTTGTTTTGCAAGAAACTGATAAACATTTAGTAAAGAATAAAAAAAAGCAAAGATTATTCTTCAACCTATTAGATTTTACAATTATTTAATCAAGATTGCTTCAGATAAATAGTACTTTGCTACAAGCTGGCATTAAAAGTTTAAAATCAAGTATAAATATTTCAATTATTTCAAGAGTTCATTACAGCTTAGTTCCTAGTAAAAATGATGACAACTTCAAAACATGAAAGAACATGAAGTAGCATTCAAAACATGAATTCTTTCAAAACATGAAAGAAATTTTTTTTTTCAGGAAATATTTTGTAGAATTGATTCTACAAAACTTTTTCTGAAAAAACAATTTCTTTCATGTTTTGAAGTAGCAAATCTTGTCTTTGTTTATCTAACTGGTGCCTCTTTTATCAATAATATTATAACATTTAAGCATGTATCCCTCTACATCACTAAACAAAACATTCTATTATGACTTAGTGGAAATGTTTTTGGTACCTCTAATTTTACAATTGGTTTTCTAACATGTCTAAGTTGTATAATGAGCAGTGTTTATCGTATTTGCTTGCAGCTAAGTATGCATAATCATCTAACATTTTACATACAAGTTCGTAGATTGTACATTGCAAAATATAACCTGAAAGAGTCAAACTAAATTGATATATAAAGAACATCAATTAAAAAACACTTTCTATTCTGGAACAAGAACAATAAAGAAAAAGTGATATGACTTGAACCTACTAAAACGGCTATTTTCATAGCCACATATTTTTTAAAAATATTATTGGTATATAATTAGCTCCTAGAGTAAGTTCAATGCTTTATGTATATTTAATAGTTTTATGGTGTAATAACTTTATAATAAAACAACAATAAATGATTGAATAATAAAATTAATACAATTGTCTTTTAATTTAAAATAATAATGACAACACTGCTATTTTACATATATAAAAAATATTTATTTTTAAACTAATCTAATAACATCTATTTTTTTTTTGGCATGACTTAATACTATATTACTACCACTTTATAATACCTGTGTAGCTAAATACATTTTCAGCTACTAAAAGTATTTTTTATTTTGTTATTATTGAAAGTCGTTAAATGATGGGTTACCCTTGCAAGCATTAAGTGATCATTAGTGTTGGAAAGAATTTTCAAATAAGCTATTTCATAATGTAATAAAGTTTTTAATACAGCAAAAACTTATTACTTAGGCAGCAAGGTTAACACTTTTTAATAAATATTTTGCCAACTTTATATGCTCAAAAGTAAGTTTAGGTAAAATACAAAGGTCTTCATAGAACATATAAGCAATGTGGTTCCACTGTATAAACTTACCATCCTTACATTTATCTTTTTTTCCATATGTTTTAAGTTGGATAAGTCATATTTAAATAAGACAGTAACGAGTTGTTATACTTTAATGTGGTGAATTAGGCATAAACGAATCATTTAAAATGCTTTTTCAACAACTTGCGATTTGCATAAACATCGCAAGTTACAAGCAACAACTTTTAAGAAATTTTGATTGCTTTCTAAAGCAAAAGAAACATTAGTCATACAGTGGCACCAGTTGTAAAAGTCAAGTATATCGTCTAGATTAGTCAAGTATATCATCATACACTGCAGCTGAATTTGAAACTAAAAAATTAACACAAATATCTTATTTTAGTTAAAGATAACCTTAGATTTTGAAATATTATTTTTCTGCATTCAACAAAATAGATATTAAATTATAGCTTAAAATCAAGATTTAAAATAATTGTACTTTTTTTATAATTGAATTAAATTTGATTTAAGTATGATAGTGATGCAATATTTGGTAGCAGACTTTGGCATCATCTTTATTGCATCAAGTATATATTTTTTATTTGCTATTATACAAATTGCAATACAGCATAATAAAAATAAAATTTTATATACGAGCTTTTGAATTTTAGTTTAAGAAGCTTTGATATACTAGCTATTTTTAAAGTATTTATTAAAATCCTATTTTTTTTTACTGATTAAGTTTTTTACTTATTAATAAAAATAGAAAAATATTTTTGCACAACATTTATTGTTAGTATAGCACTTGTAAAAAAGGTAGAAGTTCTACTGTAGCGTAGAATATGTGATATGCACATAGTAAGGTAAAATCTTCTACCTTCAAAAAAATTGTATCTTTAAAAGTAAATTTTTTTTTCCTTGTAAGGTAGAAAATTAAACAACAAATCACTATTTTTAATATAATTTAGGTAATAATTAAGATATAATTTTCTCTCTAAGGTAGATAAATATGCTATATTAAGGGTATAACACATATCTTTAAAGATACCAACATCTAATTTAGCTTTGAAACCATTCAAAATGAAAAAATTGTACCTTATTTTTTCTTGTTTCCAGAAAAGATACCAGCAAAGTGTAAAGAATGATATATAAATTATCAACTAATCTAGCTAAGTAAACTATATATAGAATATAGATTATTAAGCTATATTAGCTAACACTTTAAATAAATATACTCTGAATATAATACAAAGTATTTATACCCATATACATCCATCAAGTTATACAGTTGATAAAATATTTGCATCTATAACATATTTTCATATAGTGCATATAACTTAAATGCTTATATGATATAAGCTATATGGTTGAATAAGCATATTTATACCAATACAAACTCTGTCACATAACTACATTTACCAACAGTTGATGTCTTTATTTTATGCTATATTCATCATTTTTATTCGGAATACGAAATATAAATGCAATCCAAAATATTAACTTGAAACTGAATAACCAAAAAAATCACAATTTGTTCATGCCATTTCAATATTTATCCCAGAATATATGTAACTTATCTATAGCGAAATACAATGTTTACAATTTGATGCACTCTAAAGTAGGCTGAGCACTAGTATCGAGAGGAACTTAAGTGTTTTAAGAAAACGGCCCGCGTTTCCAGACTAGTTAAATACTGACTATGGTCAATGTTATATTTCATCTTTTGTTACAAAAAAATATCAATATCTAAAAATTATAAAGAGTTATAAATCAATAAATGAAAAATGAGTTTATCCAGGCTGTTGGCTGGTAAGAAATGTGAAAGTTATGTATAGAATATTTTTATTTACAACCAAACAACCGATGCCTAGTTCAGGACAAGAATAACGAGAGTGAGTGTGACTCTCAACGGACTCTCAACGGACTCTCAACGGACGGACAACTCTTCAACGGACACAATAATTATTAATGGATAATACGCGTAATAGCATTTTTTCATTCAGAATTTACTACAAACGAAACATAAGTTTAAAATAAGTTTTATATAAAGCAATTTTAAAAGGAGCAGTAAACAGTATGGTTAAAATAAATAAAGACCTAATATTGGAAGCAACTATTTAAATGAGTAATCTTGTTCTTTAGAATTGAATACTGATGTGAGGATAAGAATACGTGCTTCTTCACAGTTTGGTACTAAAAACCTAGATTTGAAAAATCTGTTTTTAAACTTTGTGAAAAAAATTTGCATAAAAGAAGTTTGATTCAAATTTTAAAAGCCTGTGAAAATTGCTTAACTTAACTCTTATACTCAAAATCTGGAAGGTTAAAATAAACTCTTTTGTAGGCCAGGGCAAGAGCATTCTTTGATATAAAGGTTTCTGATCTAGCTGCTTTATTCGTAGTGTCTGCTCTCACGTTTTAAATAAGCTAATAGATCTATTAAATTATAGTCTATTCACACTTTTAACAAAAAAAAAAAGATAAAAATCTTTCAATTAAATGAAAATTTAAACGACTAAGTTTTTTTATATTTAATTTTTAAATTTAAAAGAAATCTAGTGTACATTCGTCCACTGACTATTTAAGAGTATGCACAGTGTAGTGTATATAATGTGTTTTGGCTTTGGCAGGCAATCTTTAATTTCAAAAAAAGTACTTCTTAAGGTAAATTTTATCAACCGGCAGCCGTATTCACTTATTTTGCTTTTGTCTGAAATTTTATTATAATAATTTAAAATTTTAACGTCCGCAATTTCACACTTATGTAATTTGGAATGATTAACATATTAAAAATATTACCTTAATTGTATAATTTTCTGGCGACTCATCGTATTTGTACAACATTTGGTTTACCGCACGAACTCGGGTTTTTTTCCAAGTCATTGTTAGTTTCTCTTCCACTGTTAACCAATATTTGCACTCTGTCTTTAAATATGAGCATTCCTCGTAGCACTTGACATTGTTGATCATGTATATCAAGATAAAAAAAGTAACAGCGTTCATTTCTGAAAGAATAAAACTTATTTAGAGTTTATTTTAGTTTAGCTTATTATTACAAAAACAATACTGGCAAAAAAATTGTTAAAAATTTTCAAACATTCCTAAAATTTAGAATTGTAACATTGTAGTTTTCTCTCAGAAATATAACATTAAGTCAAGATGTTTTCTTTTCTATTCTCAATAAGAACTTTTTTCTTACAAAATTATAATCACAATTTACACAAAAAACATGTACCTCAAATATTACAATCACAACCCACATTAACATATTTCACCTTAACATATTACAATTTCACCTTAACCATATGAACACATTAGCAGCTACATGCAAAACCGTACAAACATATTAACATCAATTATCAAATATAAACAATAAAGATTTAACAAGCAATAAAGATTAAAGTGTTCAAAGGGTGATCTAACAATTTCTAAGTCTAATGCATCACCTTAGCAAAATGCAAGATGAAAGGAACAATGTTATAACTCTCTGAGTAGAGCGCATCTCTGTTTGCGAAGCCGCTCGTTAGCAATTAGGGTTAGCCTATAAAAAGTCCATAAAAAGGTTAAATATCCACCTTTTTTCAAAAACAAGTTAAGATTTACTTTTAATCCATGATAGTTTAAAGGATATTTATAGATAATGAATGCAAGTAAACCTTTGTATAAAATTTATATTGCAAACTTAATTATTTGTTGATTTAATTTTGTTGCATATCATATGAATGATAATATAATAAATTTACATTGTTTTTATATAAACTTATTTACCTTTACAAATATTTCTTTTGCCCTATTTTTTTTTTGTTTGTCAACAGTTGTTGGTAAATTGCATTATATGCATTGTATGGTAAATTGCATTGTATGTAAATTGCTTCTAATACTTGTATGAAATGCTTCCAATACTAGATAAATATTGCGTAATTAAAAGAGTTGACAAAAGTTAATTTAAATCAATAAACATTAAGGGAAGTTTGCTGCATAAAAGTTTTTGCTACATAAAAGTTAATGTGTCTTCTTTAATCTAAAACTTTTTGCTATTGAAAAAATTTTTTATCTTAAATATTGTGTTTGTATTGTTGTTTTTTTGGTATTTTTATTTTCCTTTGAACTTTTTTTTTTGATTTTATAAATTCGATTTTAATATCATTTGCCGCGTATTTATGTATAAATTAATTAGTGAAAAATTAATTTTTGAAAAACTAGATAGTGAGAAACTTGGTTTCAAATTTTAGCCTAAACATCGAATTAAATTATTCGTTATAAGTGAAACCTAATTTTCAAAATTGAAACTTACTATACAAAAGATCATACTAATAAAAATAAAATTGTAAAGTAACAGGTAGTTATGTAGTCATGACAACCATATATAATGGCAGATATAGAAAACTATGCACATCCTACCGTTCGAAAATCTTAGATTCAAATAGAGTTTTCAAACAAAACTTTCAGGTATGATAAAAAACAGTTGATCAATGCAACTAAAAAAAATTTTTTGAATCAGATATTTGATTTTCCATGTACCACGACCCCAGATATCAATATTTTTAATAAGCTATTTTTTAAACTGCTATTTCTCAAAATACATATTGTTTTATTATTTTCTTTTAGCAAGTGCATATATTATATAAAAACACGAAATTGCTTAAAACTTGCTTAAAAACTAATGTTTAGAACTCGAAATAACTGTGACGGGAGATTAAAAAATAGCAAAAAAAAAGTTTTAAAAACTAAACAAGAAAAAACAATTACTCGTAAAACAATGAAAATATAAACCAAGTACATTAAGATTGAAGCGAAATAATTAAAAACATATAAGCAAAATAAATTTTTTAGTTTAATTTAATTCAAAAACTTTATTTTTTGTTGATATATACAATAGTTTAAACATACATAAAACTATCTTAAATCAACACGTTTAATATTAGACACAAACACGTTTAACACGTTAGACAATACGTAATCTCATAAATCAACAAATTTAACATTAAAGATAGTACATATTCACATAAATACCAATACAAAAAAAAATTAAATTTTCAATTACAATTTTTACAGTTTTTATAAAAGAGGAATAAATAATAAATAATAATCTTACAACGTTACAATTTTAAAAAATTTAAAAATGACAAATTTTGCAAACACAATTTTTTGCATACCAATTCATAAAATGTTTTTTAAATACCTAAGGACTTTTAGAGGATATGACTTTATCACCTAAAGAAAACTCCACTTATATTTACAGCTATTTTGAGAAAGAATAAGTTTTTTGGTACAACGAAGCTTAAAGAGAAGATTTTTTTTATAGGTCCTTATCAAAACCTCGTAACTCAAAAAATCGAAACTTTTGTGGACGATACGAAAAGCTTTTTGATAAATTCTATATATGAGATGTTATTGTTATATGTTGTTATGTATGTTATATAACATAAGATACACAACATAACGTTATATGTTATGTTATATCACATACATTTTGTTATATGTTATGTTGTGTATGTGATATAACATAACATACACAACATGTTATATGTTATGTGTGTTGTTATATGTTATATCATGTATTATGTATTTATATCATGTTATGTCAGCATTGTTGATAAAATATTTTTTGCACTATTCTCAATTAGACATAAAATAATGACATTACCGACATTGACATAATATAATCAATGAGGTAGAAAATCCAACGTGTTGTCTTTTCAGATAAATCAAGTTTAATAACGTTTTTTCTTTTTCTAAAATAATTTTTTTGAATAAATATTTCCAAAATAGCTTTATGCAACTTGCTGGTATTTATCATCTGAATTGAAAAGACTATTCTTAAGTTTAGGTTTATCTAAAAAAAGAAACCTTTTGGTTAAAAACATTTTTTCAAAATTCAAGCAAAAATAAAGTATTAAAATTGCTAGTAATCATTAACTTAGCTTTACTAGCATGAAGAATATGAAATCATTCATTCATATTCTTAACAATTGCAGGGGAGGATGCAACCTTTTTTAAAGTTTGAGCTAAGCTCCGGTCGCAGAAAAAACTACAAACATTTACATGTTTATATTTATGTCAAAAAAAAAAAGTCTTTTTTTTCGCTTCAATTTCGCCAAACGTGAGAGCAGCAATTAAATAAAATATTTAAAAAAATAATTTTTAACTAAATTTATAATCATCAATAAATTTTAAATTTCATACAATATTCTCTATGCGTTCAAAAATTATGACTATATTAAGTTTAAATCCCTAACTTAAAGGGATTACAAATTTTAAGGAAATAAGTTTTACGCGCTTAGAGATTATTGTATGAAATTTAAAATTTATAAAGGAATATAAATTTAGTTGAAAAGAATATTAAAAAAATTCTAATTAAATTGTTGCTCTCACGGGGTAATTTATGGGAAAATTTTAGGTTATTTTTGTTCCCTGACATCCAGCCATTGCAGTTTTAAAGCATCTTTATTTGACATAAGTATAAACATTTAAATGTTTGAAGTTTACTCCGTATCTGGAAATTAGCTCATCAAAACAGAATCTCAAACATCAAAAAACCCTCCATTCGCCGTTTGAATAATGCACAACTAATCGCTAATTTACTTTTCTTTTTATAAACTTTAACACGTTGAATAACGTTCTTGTGTCAAAAAACATAACAAAAGCTTCAAGCTATTGTATAAATCGGTTCAATTAAATTATGTTGCTTTAATTAAAATTATGCCAGCAATTATAAATCGTGTTTCTTAAAAATACGATTATAAAAACTTATGTGGCTATCAATTTTTGATACTTGTTTTCGTGAAAATTAATTTGACTGATTTTTCTATGTAGTTACAAAGTTTATAACTTTATTACTATGAGTTTTTATTTACTACTTTAAGTTTGTAACCTAAATTTATTACTTTAAGTTTATAACCTTGCAAACTTTTTTGTACTTTTTTAACTTTTTTGTACTTTCGTATCAAAATTTTATAACCTTCAAAAGTTTATAACCTTTGAAACCTTGTACTTTCTTATCAAAATACAACCAAATATATTACTTTGCAATAAACACTAAACAATCAAAATATTTGTCATTTTTTTAATTATTATTACTTTATATTTTTTACTATATTCATTATTTTCGGCTCTATTCTTTAAATTACTTGAAACGCAAAAATGTCTGAACTCTTTAATTTTTCTGCCGGCACAAACACGTCTTTTAGACGTCTTTTAAGCATCTAAAATGCTAAGACTTTTTAGATGCCTAAATTCAGATAACTATAAAACATCTAAAAGCAGCCATCTTTTAAACGGCAAATATGAGCTCAATATTTGTCGCCTCAAAGATGACAACTATTAGATGTCTTATAGCTATCTGAATTTAGACGTCTAAAAGACGTGTTTATGCTGTCTGGTTTGACCATAAGGTAGTTTAATTATCCCAGTTTAATTATCATTATTGCATTTACACGGTTTTTTGTTAACAACTCTTTTAAATTTCCTCACTACACCTTTTTGCGTTTACGTTTGACAATTTTCAATTTAATTTAGAGTTTTTTTATTTTAATTTGTCAATTTTCGCTTTAATATGGCTAATTTTCACTTGGCACACAAATCTTATACCTCGGAAAAATTAAAGCAAAAAGTACCAAATTATAATTGAAAAAAAAAGAATTCAAAGTGAAAATTGCCAACTTAAAATGGAAAAATGCCAAATTAAAGTAAAAATTGGTAAACCTAAACGCAAAAAGATGTAGTTACGTAACTACACTTGTGGACACACAGCTTTTTTTATTCAAGAAGCAGATGGTTTTCGCTGGCGGTATAATTTAATTAATTATTTACTAGGAAATGAGTATATATTTGGGTGAAAATTGATTGGATATGGTTGTATACATTAGTAACAGATTTTTTTTTTCTATTGTATTCTATCATTGTACTCTACAGTAAGTATAAAGCTATAAACTTCATTTAGTTAAGTATTTAGATAAAAAAAATAAAAGAATAAAAGTGCAATGTTAATTTAGCTTATTTTCGC